ACTTTGACCTAAACTTCTCCTTATTTAAATAATAATTCAAAATGGAGCATGTGAAAGTTTAAGGGTTTTTTAGATAAATATAAAATCCTCGGGACCAGCAGATAGCGTTATGATTACACTGCTGGACTTCCATGTAGTCGATCATGGTTCGAGTCCCAAACCCAGTAGCTTAAAACTCACATTGGGCACATGTGCGTGCATGCCCAAAACCCCCAAGAAGAGAATAGAGGAGAAGGAACTGCAGCATGGCCATCTCCTTAGGGGGTGATTTCTTGCTTTCTGTCTCTCTCTTTCTCTCCGTCTTTCTTGCAAGAGCATGCACCCTATAGCAAAAATCTCTCTAAAAAAAAAAAAAAAAGAAGAAGAAGGAAAGAAAAAAGAAATAAAAATATAAAATTCTCAAGACCTAGTGTAAGGTGAAGAGTATTCATAATAAGCACCAAAAGTATGATTCATAAAAGGAAAATGTGATAGAAAGGCCTCATCAAAATGAAAATACTTCCTCTATAAAAACCCTGTAAAGAGGATAAAATGATAAGTGACAGATTGGGAAAATAAATCTATAATCTATAAATTTGACAAAGGCTTTCTCTCTTGGGGGAGGGGGAGACTCTTAAAATTTAACATTTAAAAAAATGCAATCAGAAAATGGGCAAAAATCATGAACCTGGCTAACTGTCAGAGTGATGATTAGAGCAGCTGCTGGATTCCGCATGCCTGACTACATGGCTTGAGCCCCAGAATCAACAGCTTGAAAAATATACCAGTCACGTGCACATGAGTGTCCTAAATCCTGAAAGGAGGGAGAAATAGAAGAGTAAGTAAGGATTGCATTATGACTATATCCCATGGGGTGGTGGGGAGGGTGCTTTCTGACTTTTCAGCTCTCGTTTTCTCTCTCCTCTCTCTCTCTCTCTCTCTCTCTCTCTCCCCCTCCCCCACCCCCAGCTAATATATATGCCTCGACAAATTAAAAAAAAAAAGACATGAATCAACATTTCAATGAAAAGAATATGCAAACAACAAGCAAGATATTTAACATCACTAGCCAGTAATGAAATGCAAATTAAATCCAAAGTAAGAAATAACTAGACAAGTTATCGGAAAGATTGAAAATAAAAATACTAACACTAAATGCTACTGAAGACACAGAGAAACTGGATCACCCAGGCATTCGTGGAAATGTAAAATGGCACATCTACCCAGGAAAATTCAGGCAGTTCCTTAGAAAACTGAGCAAACACTTATAAAACTAGCGATTGTATTCTTGAATATTTATCTCAGAAAAATGAAGACTTATACACACATCTGTGCATGAAAGTTGAAATCAGTTTTAGTCTCCATAGCCAAAGCTAGAAACTACCAAAATGTCATTTAACATGTGGCTGTTTTCAAAATATGGTACAATGAAATATTGAAATATTACATGAGATATTACACAATAATTTTTTTAAAAACTATCAATAAATCCAAAAACTTGGAAGGATCTCAAGGAAATTCAGCTGAGGGAAATAATGCAAGCCTTGGATGTTTACATGATGTTATGAGTCCACGGATACAACATTCTTGAAATAGTAAAATGTAAAGTTGGAGAGCCAATTAGTGGTTTCCAGAGATTAAGGATAGGAAGAGAGAGAGAGGTGGATAAAAGTAATAAAAGAACAATATTAGAGAACCTTGTGGCAATAAAAAATTCTATAAATTACGCCTTGGTATACAAATCTACACATATGATAAAACTGCATAGAAATACACACACAGCACACGTAGGCAAATGAGTGTATGTACAGTTGTTGAACTTTAAATAAGATACATGCATTATACCAATGTCAATTTTCAGTTTTTATATTTTATTATAATTACACCAGAAGTTGCCATTAGGGAAAGTGAGATGAAGGGTACACAGGTCCACCATGTTTTTGTTTCTAAAAGTTTTGTTTCACAACTTCTGTTAGACCTATAATTATTTCAAAATAAAAAGGTTTTAAAAAGAAAAATAAAGATAAAATAAAATCCTTTTAAGAAAGATAAGTGAAAATAACAATAATTATAATAATAGCAGCTATTTGTAGAAAATCCTTACTATATGCCAGACACCATTTGGAGCACTTTGCAGACAATAACATGCAATAATGTGATCCTCAGACGAACTCTATATGATGATGAAGTAATACTCATTGATGGGAATTAGAAAGCTAAAGTAGAGAAATTGACGTGAACAATATTCAAATCATAGCCTTAGGAAGCTTTCTTAAGATTAATCAGTCCAAAAAAGACCAAGTAAAAATAAATATGTATTAATATTTAAGTCCAGGACCAGCAGTTAGCGTAATGGCTATGTCGCTGGACTCCCATGTAGTTAACCGCGGTTTGTGTCCCAGACCCGGTGGCTTAAAACTCATGCTGGGTGTGTGTGTATGCATGCCCAAGATCCCGAGAGGAGAATGGAGGAGAAGGGATTGTGGCGTGGCCATCCCCCCTGGGGGGTGATTCCTCGCTTTCTGTCTCTCTGTCTCTCTCTGACTGTCTGGCGAGCGCACACACCCTATAGCAAAAACCTCTCCAAAAAAAAAAAAATTAAGTCCATTTATTTAAATAATAAATTTAAAGGGAAAATACATTTTAAATAAATATGAGGTATATGTCATCACTAATTAAAAAATAATAATAGAAAAGAACAACATGGCACTTTTTAAATTATTTATTTGATTTTATTTGTTATTATTATTATTTTTTTAATTTTGCTATAGAGCACATGCAGTTACCAGAGAGAGACAGAGAAAGAGAAAAAGCAAGCCACCAGGTCCAAGATTCAAACCATGGTCGACCATGTGGGAGTCTTGTGCCCCAACTACCATGCCACCTGCTGGCCCCAAGATGGCACTTTTTAAAAATTATTGGTAGAGGGCATGTGCACTGATCAGAAAGAGAGAGAGGTGGACTGAGACATAGGAAGTTACCTTGATGGAGTGTGGTCACACAGCAATCCCTTCTCCATTTCTCCATCACTTTAGCATTCAGAGCATGCACCCACATGCCGCTGGCTTACTTTTCAAGTCTCCAGGGGGATTCAATCTGCAGTTGGCCCTGTGGTATTCAGCTCCCTTAACAAGTGCTACAGGGCTAGCACCAATGTACACTTTTAAGAGTAAAATAGACAATGACAGGAACAACCAGATTATCTAGTAGCCCAGAACACAGATTTGGAAGGTAAAAAGGAAATGGGCTTGTTCCTACCTCCACCAACTACCTTAACAGAGTTTTCATTTCCTTGACTGTAATATATGACTCATGGAGCTGCAATTTGTTTAATGATTACTATCTGTACTTCACAAGGTGAAATATGACTATCCAATAAGTGCCCAATTTCAATAGCAATCAAAAAATACCAATAAAACTTGCAATGAAATATTCTTGGCCTTTCCAATGGTAACAATGTTTAAAAATGAAAATGTCCATTTCCCTTGTCAGTATATTAAAATATGTTTTCTCAGGGCCAGCTGATGGTGTAATGGTTACATCGCTGGACCATGGTTCATGTCCTGGACCTGGCAGCTTAAAACTCATGTCGGGCATGTGTGCGTGCATGCCCAAAATCCCTAGAGGAGAATGGAAGAGAAGGGATTGTGGCATAGCCATCTTCCTGGAAAGTGGTTTCTCACTGTTTCTCTGTCTCTCTTGTGTGCGCGTGTGTCCTATAGCAAAAGAATTTTGAAATGCATGTAATTTTTTCATTAAACATGTTTTCCATGAACTTTTTAAAGATCCCTTGTATACATTTTTTTATCCAGTCACCTATTGATGAACACTTAGATTATTCCATTTCTTGACTTTCATGACTAATGCTGAGACACTCACATGTTAACAATAAATAGCTTGAAAACTGCCAATTAACTTATCAATGACTTCTTTCTTTGTTTTTTCATAATTTCTAGTTTTTTCTAAGGAAAATAGTACGCATTAATAAAATAAGTATTTTTAAAGGAAATATCAACATGTCACTTTTCCTGTAGGTGAAATAGCAAATAAAAAATATCTTATGTATAGAACTGATTAGGCAAAGTGTCACAGAGAAGACAACATGAGAATCAAATCTGTACAGAGAAAGAAGAGTTTTAAAACAAGTCAAGAGATAGTATTCCAGACAAAGCAGAAATACATGAGGCTGTAGCATGACCTGGGAGGGGGAAGGAGTTCATAGCCTTGTGTGTCCATAGGTCAGATTGCTCAGCAAGTGATATGGGCCATGTTGCTGTAAAGGAGGTTAGGAACCAAGACACTGAAGCTTCGAATATCTTGCTAAGGAAGAAAACCTTGAAAAGCACAGTCTGATGCTGAGATTGGAGGAATTTCCCTTCCTCAGCTTTCCCCAGCACACACCACCTCTTCAGAAACTACATTAGGATTTTCCCAACACAGAGTGGTCTGCCTCAGTCTCTTAAAGGGTTGTTCTGCAAAATATGAATCACACAATTCATTTACATTCCTTTATTACAGACATGCACATTGATGGGGTCTATATCCCATAGTATAATATTATGGGAATAACTGCAAATCCTAGGAATCACTGATTCTAAGCATGACATTAGAATGAAAGACAAAGAAGTGGAGGTTTGTATGTGATGGTCCAAGAATATCTGAAGATGCTTCAGAGCTTGAGAAACTTGGTATAGAATAGCTGAACAAATTCTCAGGCCAGAGCACTGTTCTCACTTCATCTACTTCCATAATTATGTTAGTGTCATAGGGATATGTGACTTCTGGAAATTGATCCACTCTGTCCTAGGCTCTGTGTAGGAGATAGTTTGCTCAGGCAAACCCAGCACTGCTTTCTCAGGGTGTTTTGACAGCAGATGTATATTTTGTTATCTCCCTGTGAATTTGATCAAAAGACTGAACTCAAGTTATTTCCTACTGTTTTACCAGACTCTTCCCACCACCACTTCCATAGATCACTTCACTGGTAGCTAGAGATTCTAAACACTGTTTGTATTCCAAAATTATTTATGCTTTGGGAAAAATACATGAGCTACCCGCTCCCGGATTTGCTTGGTTTTGATCCCATAAATGATGGGATTCAGCATAGGTGGAATCAGAATGTTGACATTAGCCAGCAAGATGTGGATATGAGGTGGAATGTGGCGCCCAAACCGTTGAGTAAGGGTTGTGAAGATTCCAGGACCATAAAATAGGATGATGATGCAGACATGGGAGCCACATGTGTTGAGAGCTTTACGGCGAGCATCTTGGGAAGGCATGCTGAAGATAGCACGGAGAATCAACACATACGAAATAAAAATTGGCACAACGTCTAAGACTAAGATAGACAGGAGGACAAAAACCCCATACCAGATGTTGACTCGAATGTCATTACAAGCATATTTGGCCAAGCCAATGTGTACACAAAAGGTGTGTGGAATAATATTATTGTGGCAGAAAGTCAATCGTTTCAAAAGAAATATTATAGGAAAAACAGTACAAAAACTTTTGAGAAAAGTGGTCACACCAATTTTCCCAATCCGTGTGTATGTAAGGATAGTGGTGTACCTCAGAGGGTAGCAAATGGCAATGTAGCGGTCAAATGCCATCACCAGCAGGATCCCAGACTCAAACAAGAAAGTGCAGTGGATCATAAAGAACTGAGTGATGCAACGATCCAGGGAGATCTCCCCAGCATGGAACCAGAAGATGGCCAGGGCCTGAGGAACTGTGGATGTAGAAAGGACAACGTCTGCCCCAGCCAGCATGCAGAGGAAGAGGTACATGGGCTCGTGGAGGCTGCGCTTTGTGAGGATGGTGAAGATGAGCAGGCTGTTCCCAAGCAGAGTGATGATGTAGGAAATGAAGAAGGGGATGGAAACCCACACATGCTGGTCTTCTAGGCCAGGGATGCCCAACAAGTGGAAGACAGTGTGACTAACACCAGTGTGATTTAAGGTAAGCATAACTAGGGAGACCATGAGATACGTCACCTCCTGTTCACAGATAACAGAAGAAAATACATATGTCTTATAATATTTTCTGTGCTGTCACTTGGAGCTTTTGGCATATTCCGCATTCTTCATCTTCTCTGAACATGAAAATAATAGAAAACATACAAAGGTAGATAGGGTAAATAAGATATATGTGTTCTCTGCCCTCGAGGAGAGAGCATCTAATTAAAATCTCATTAAAAGATAGACCTATTAGGGCCAGCAAGTGGAGTGGTGGTTTAGATGCTAGACTCTCCCATGGCTGACCACAGTTTGAGTCCTGGACCTGGCTGCTTGAAAAATCATACATGTGTATGCCCCAAACCCCAGGAGAATAGTGGGAGAAAAGGGATTGCAGAGGGCCATTCCTCCCCAGAGGGTGATTTCTCACTTTCCCTCTCACTGCCTCTCCCTCTCTGGTGAGTACACTCGCCCTGTAGCAAAAACCTAATATATATATATATATATATATTTCCAACTAACTATGAAAGACATTACTGCATGTATTCTCCTACAAACATAGTTATGAATATACAACAAAAGACAGTATGTATGTCTGGAAGGTAATAAGAATACTTGAACTTAATATCAAGTCGTTTTTAAAAAGTTGATAAATTAAAAGAGGGACCAAACTTTTTTAGGTTCTTGTTCTTGAAACATTTCAGTGAAGTGACTAGCACATGTACATAGAGTGTACAAAGGAGAACCAAGGAGGGGCAGTACAGATAGATTTGGCCTGCTTGTCAAAGACCTTGATCCAACTTCACTTTATACTCCATCTTTTATACAAGGGCTGCTATCAGATGTTTGCTGCTGCTGGTTTAGAATGATTAGTTTAGATAGATTATTTGCAGAAATTTATTGAAACAATAATAGACTTAATAATCTGGATTCTAAAGGTCAGTTGTGTTCCAGGAATGGAATGACTCTGAACATAATGCAGTCACAGTCAAACTGATATTTCCTATACATCTGCTTTATAACTTGTGGCACCTCACATTTGTGCATTAAGTTATTGAATACCCACTCTAGCAACTGGATATTACCACATTTCACAGTTATGGGAAGTAAGACTCCAAGAACAAGAACAATTAGAAAATGTCTTCAGGCGGTAATTTGAAGAGGGTGATGGAAATGAGGTTGGAAATCTCGCTGATATCACCACTTACTGGTTGTTCACTTGTAAGGAGGTGGAGAGATCTTTAAAAGGTAACACTGATGGGCTTTTTGTGCATGAGGTAAGGAGCTCTTAGACCTGACATCTTAGGGTAATCAATTAAGAAATGACTGAACTGGGGAAAGGAAGAAGCATTTCACTGGAATGGGAAGGGGATAATATGGAGATGGGCAGAATGTTTGGAAGACTTTTCTGGAGGTAAAAATTTTATATCGTTTATTCCCATATGTGCTTTCACTCATTCATTAACTCAGTTATTCAGTGAGCATATTTTGAGCAACGACCATTTTCAGCCTCACTGCACAAATGAGGGATACGGTTAAAAAAAAAAAAAAAAGGAATCCTCACTGGGTCCTGTAGTTTATGGTTTGAGAGAAAAGACTTCTACATAGATAAGTTTGAAGTATTGAAAACAAGTGATTTTCTAAATTGAAAGGGTATCTTAAAGTATCTAACTTAGGAGCTGTTACATTTTATGCTCATAAATTTTTTTTTTCACTCCAGGTAGTCTCTTAGTGCCACTGATTTTCCTTTCAGGGTTGTGGGGGTCACCTCCTATTACCGTCCTCCAAGTGCTGGGAGAAATCATTCTGCTATTAGCCAGCCATCAAAGGAGAGCAGTTAACAGATGCTGAGTCGTGGAACTTTTCCTAGAGAAATATGACCTAACTACAAGAACATGTTCTCCAGCAAGGGTAGTTCTTTCTACTCCTGCAGGAAGAGAAAAAAGGGACATGTGGGATGGCACCAGAGGGAACTGGGGACAGGTGTGCACTCCGCAGACCTGACTAGGAAAGGAAAGGAGAACTGCAAGAAGGGAGAAGCCAGGGAAGCACAATTCAACAAGGGCAAGTCTGGAGAGCAGGGCAGATTGCAGAAGCCACTGGGGGCCATGTGTTGGGGGCAAGGAAGTATCAGGGGAGATTTCCTCAACTGGAGTCAGAGAGAGAATCCAGTAGCTTAGGTCCTGGGTTTCCTGAAGAATTTGGCTCCTGAGGGACTGATTTTGATCTAACAAAGGTTCTTCTAAATGCCCTAGTCAGTGCCCCCTCCCATAGTGCTCTTGTTCGCTCTTCAAAGCTCTTTCCTAACCCTGTTTTGTGCAGCACAGCACAGACTCTTGACATATTCAGGCTTTTGTTCATATTTTACCTAGAAAAATCTTCGGTATGAGTCAATATGTTTTCTTCTTTCTCTTTTACAGTTAGGATGCCTGTCATATATTAACAAATTTTTATTTATCAACTTCCTTAACCTTAGCTAGCCAATGTATTTTATCCGCCTTTCAGAACTTGTCCTCCATATCTGCTATAACCAATCAGATCTAAAATTTCATTTTACCCATCTTTGTCTAAATATATATTAATGGCCTCCAAGGGGCTCATTATCTCTGTCCTGTATGGGAACACAACATCAGCCTGTCCTTACCTTAATCCTGGAACCAATGCCACCTACAAATATCTTACCAGTCTTGGACTAAGTCTTCACGAACAGATGAGATTGGCAATGAAATTTAGTTTGTTGAGGACCAGGCAGTTGGACTGTTTATCCTCTTTCATGAGAACCCTTGAGAGAAGCACTAATGCCAGGGCTCCAGGGACATAACTGCACCACCAGCCTCATCTTCCCAAGAGGCCCAGGTCCGGTCCCTCAGACCATTGCCCCCTACTTAGACAGCCGCCACTCTCTCTCTGCTCCTCCCCACGTGCTCTCATCTCCATACCACATCAAGCGTGCACATTTATGATGTTTCCATATAAACAATCTCTCCCAGTTCACCCAACCTTGCTGCACACCTATATTAATGTCTAGGTGGGCACAAAATATTGACTAAATTAATAAATATTAAAGTCATTTTCAATATGCAATATAAATGTATATAATTATTATGTAAAACTTATTTTGAAATTTTTGTTGTTCATGAACAGGATTATATTGCATTTACATTCATTGTAGGTATGGTAATCAGATTCCTATTTTGGAATATAAAAGTCTTTCCTTAGGCAACATAAATGTCCGTGCACAATATGTAAAACACATGTAATTGTTGATTATTTGTGACACATCATTATGTCATTGCCTGTCCAGTGTAGCATTCTGTTCAGTGCTGGGTAAACATTTATTCACAATTATCATTGCTAGAAATAGTATCTCCTGCTTGTTTCATATTCTCATATAAGTAATTTTATCTAGATTTTACTCATTCCTAATGTATGATGGGAACTCTCTTTCTTTTTTTTCTCTTTTTTTTATTTTTTTTATTTTTTTTGTATATATTTTCAATCATATTGTTTGGCTTACAATGAGACCATTTCGATATGTGCACATTTCTCCCCAGACCCGTTGATCAAAATATCTTCAGCAGATAACACCACACCTCCCCATCCCGTCAATGCTCAACCTCTGTATCCTTTCTCCAAATGTCCTTTGTTAGGCCCCACTCCTCCACATACACCTCGTCTGACATTCTCTTGTGATTGTTCAACTGTTAGTCAATCAGTTTCAGTCATAGAATGCAGACATACGGTATAAGTGGGGACATACAATATCTCTCCTTCATAGCCTGGCTTGCCTCACTCAGCAGTACATCTTCCATATTCTTCCACTTTCTGTCAAAAGCCAGGGTTCTGTTGGTTTTTATGACTGAGTAGTATTCCATAGAGTATATGTGCCACAGTTTTTCAATCCATTCCTCCATATGGGGGCATTTGGGTTGGTTCCATGACTTAGCTATTGTGAATAGTGCCACAATAAACATCGATGTGCAAGCACTTTTCCAATGAAGAATTCTACTGTCCTTTGGGTAGATACCGAGGAGTGGGATCTCTGGATCATATGGCAGATCTATCTGTAGATTTTTTAAGAATCTCCAAATTATTCTCCACAGTGGTTGGACCAATCTACATTCCCATCAGCAGTGTAAAAGAGTTCCCCTTTCACCATACCCCCGCCAACACTTACCATTTTTTGTTTTTTTAATATTAGACATTTTGACTGGGGTTAGGTGGTACCTCATTGTTGTTTTTATCTGCATTTCCCTTATGATGAGGGAGGTTGAACATTTTTTCATATGCCTTTTGGCCATTCGTATGTCATCTTTAGAGAGTGTTTTTTTCAACTCCTTCTCCCATTTTTTAATAGGGTTGATCATCTTTTTTCCAAACAGCTTATTTCTTGCTTTCTCTTTGTCTGTCTCTCTGGCATGTGGCACATGCACACAACCTAAGGTAAAAGTCTCTCTCTTAAAAAAAAAAATCTGTCTATCTACATATATACATGTATATGTGTGTGTGTATATATATATGTGTGTGTGTGTATATATATAAATATATATATATGAATGTGTGTGTATATATATATAGTTGTCAGGAAAGTCATGATGTATTTTAGCATAGAAAAATACATCATGACTTTCCAGACAACCTAATATATTATCCTAGCTTTGCCATCACAGTTTATGCTCCTTTAAATGATATTATTTATTTTTTGTTAAGTTAATAACTTTATAAAAGCAATGAGATTGCCAGGACTAGCAGATGGTTTAATGGTTGTGTCACTGGACTTCCACATAGCTGACCACAGTTTGAGTCCTGGACCCAGAGGCTTGAAACACACTGGGAATCTGGATACTGCTTCAAGGGAACGCTTTGCTGGACATCAGGCTGCCTGCGGCAGCAGGGCCTAACAGCTGGAATACATGGCTCAGCCCCTCCCCCACTCGCCTTTGGACTTCAGGTTTGTATCTTGGGACTTTAAGACAAACTTGCGCCCCTCCCAGCCCCATCTCCAGATACTG